TTTTGGGGTTGACAATGGCACAGCCACGACAACTCCAATTTATTTGTAATTTGTTCGAAATTTATATCAAGCGCAGGCCTCACACCTACTTCCCTATTCCCCAGTGGGTCTCTATTTCACACACTCCCTGCCACACATAATTGCACTCATAAAATGCCAAATACTCAGCTCCGCACGCTCCGATATTTATGCTTGATACCCAGTAAAAAAGTGGGTATGATGGGATTTAAGCATGATTTAAATTTGTACGACTATAATTCGTGTTTCTTAATAGGCTTTATAGTTTGTATTTACAATCTCCGCTGAAAACAACATTTATTAATATTTCGATTGAATTTTAAGCCGCAAGCCTTAACCTACAAATTATATGGACTACTTAATTGGACTACTTGGCTATATAAACTCTCTCTTTCGTACTCCCTGAGAAGCAACTGTGCAAAAATTACAAGCATTTTGAATTTTTCCACTGACACCGAATTGTTTTATCTGCTAGTTGGCATCCGCAAGTCGATCAGCTCACTCCCAGGAAGTCCAATCCCACATATAGACATATCTTAATGCTCACAGACTCGGGTGGCTCGGAAGCAAGCAAACAAACAAATTATGTGCTCATTTGAATACACATTCTAATGCGAATCACGTTGACAAAAATTCATTGGAGCGTGCAGGATACGCACACGAGCACAAGGACCCAGCCGCACTGGACGGCAGGATACCTTGACTTTCGAACTCCGGTCTATCCAATCAGGCTGCTGCTGCTGCTGCTGCCAGGATCCTGGCGCAGATAAGGATACGGATAAGGATAAGGGGGAGTGGCAAACTGCCCCCGTCTCGGACGCTGACAAGGACATATTTATAAAGCGCTCATTTCGAGCAAGGCACATTCACATATATATAATATGGAGTGGCATCCCAATATCCAGTTAATCTATCGGGACATGGTGCAATGTGTAGAAAATTAAATGTGTTTGCTTGAGCCTTGTACACTAAGAAAAACCGAGGAGGCTACTAATATATAGATGTGTACTAAATAATATTTTAAAAGGTTTATACACATCGTTTAAAACCGCTTACAAGGAACTAACATTAATATTGGATATACATTTTATTGATTAAAGAAATTAAGAAAATGATGATTACTGTAATATTTAAGCTTATTAATAACAAGAAAGGAAGCTAGCTTCGGCAAGCCGAAGCTTATATACCCTTGCAGTCATCAAATATGTCGAACAAAATGCATAAAGGTTAAACAACATTGAAGCTAAGACGATTTTTCTATTCATTTTCCATATTTTCGATTATAGATAATATGGGAGCTATATGATATAGTTGTCCGATTTTGATCAAATTTAATTCGTAATTCAAGAGTCGTAAGAAAACTCTATATTCCAAAAATCATACTTGTCTGATGAAAAACAACGATGTTATTATTTTATTTACAAACAAATCTATATAGTTTTTTCGATCTTTCCTATGGCAGCTATAAGATATAGTTGTCCGATTTTTATGAAACTTTTTTCTCAATATAAGGGTTGTTAAAGAACTTGATGTTCAAAAAATCAAGCGGGATAGAAAACAACGATGGGATAGAAAACAACGATGCTATCAATTTATTTCCATTAATTCTATATATATTTTTCGATCTCTCCTATGGCAGCTATATGATAGAGTTATCCGATTTTGTTCAAATTTAATTTGAAATTTAATAACAGTTAGAAAACGCCATATTGAAGAATTCAAGTCGATCTGATCAAAAACAACAGAGTGAGAATTGTTTATTTCATTCTCTTGTATTGGAGCTATCCGATATAGTCGGCCGATCCGGCCCGTTCCGACTTATATACTGCGTGCAACAACTACACAAATTTTGGGAAAGTTTCAGCAAGATAGCTTTAAAACTGAGAGACTAGTTTACATAGAAACAGACAGACGGACAGACGTACAGACGGATTTCGATTCTGCTCGTGATGCTGACCAAGAATATATATACTTTATGGGGTCTGAGGTGTCTCCTTCACTGCGTTGCAAACTTCTGACTGAAATTATTATACTCTTTGCTCTGCAAGGGTATAAAAATCATGCTCGTGGGATAAAAAACAACGATGTTATCAATTTATTTCCATTAATTCTATATATATTTTTCGATCTCTCCTATGGCAGCTATATGATAGAGTTATCCGATTTTGTTCAAATTTTATCCGAAATTCAATAACAGTTAGAAAACGCCATCTTGAAGAATTCAAGTCGATCTGATCAAAAACAACAGAGTGAGAATTTTTTATTTCATTCTCTTGTATTGGAGCTATCCGATATAGTCGGCCGATCCGGCTCGTTCCGACTTATATACTGCGTGCAATAACTACACAACTTTTGGGAAAGTTTCAGCAAGATAGCTTCAAAACTGAGAGACTAGTTTACATAGAAACCGACAGGAGGACAGACGGACAGACGGACAGACGGACAGACAGACAGACAGACAGACGGACAGACGGACAGACGGACAGACGGACAGACGGACAGACGTACATACATATTTCGATTCAGATGGTGATGCTGATCAAGAATATATATACTTTATGGGGTCTAAGGTGTCTCCTTCACTGCGTTGCAAACTTCTGACTGAAATTATAATACCCTCTGCTCTGCAAGGGTATAATAACTAACAGGGCAAAAAATTAATACCAATTAATATTGGATATACAATCCTTCGATTTAAGTGTGTTTTTTTCAGATTCCTAAGACAAAATTACGTATCCTGTTCTCTGAAGTATCTTATGACCCAGAAAACTTTAAAAATTTTCAAGGCTTGATAAAGTTTAAAGGACATGCAATATAAATTTAGGATGCCATAACTTATTCTGGTCTAATATGCCAGTTTTCTGGCAGTGCCTTTGTATGACGATGTCCTTGTTGTGTCTGTGTGTGCCATGTAAATGCAAACTAAATATGTACAGACGCCACAGCCAGGCATTAAGTCGATTGCTTCAAGGACTTCTCGCGCCCGGCGGAGAATCGCAGGGAGATTTGGAGAAAGGGGAGCTTCGCAGAAGGGGAGCTTCGGAGAAAGGGGAGCAGACAGAAGGAGTGAGAGATTCCTGGCGGCTTTGTCATTTACACCCAGTTGGATGTCGGCTTCCATCGCTCTATTCCGCATTGTCACTGCTAACATCTCCGCCCCACTTCGCTTTGGGGGCCCCTCAAGTGTAAATGAGTGGAATCCACCCACCCACGGGGACCGCCGTTCTTTGCACCACCAACCACCACCCGCCCACAACCACCCACCTGAATATGCATGTGCTGCGAAGGCTTTTTAATAAGCAATTTATTTTTAGCCTAACAACGCTCATGTAATGAAAAACGCGGAGCCTCCGCTTCAGCGGCTTACAATTCGCCTGCAATGATTTCCCAGCCCGAATCCCGCCCCCTTTTCCACCCCCCAGCTTTTCCTTACGGAGCGTGTTTGCCAACGATAATTAATTTTTTGGCCTACCCCAAGCAAGAAGCTAAGACCATGAGTTCGTACCGCATTAAAAAGAAATTAAAATGTTGCCATTCTCCTCCGCATTTTCCACCTCGGCGACCTCAAGTACATCTAATGAGATAACTTGGAGACAACTGGCGAGAATTGAGTGTATAAGGCATAATAATGAACAGCGAGAATACTGGTTGAATATTCATATAACAATTTAGGGCAGAACACACCTAAAGTGGGGTATAATACGAAACGACACTTTAAACAGCTAACTTTATGTGCATTGTTAAATTTACAAAAGATTTATTTTGTATCTAAAATTTAAGATTTATTTAAAATATCATGATATATATTTTTTTTCTATTCAAAGTATTTATTCATTTAAGAGCGTTTTTTATAATTTATGATCAAATTCATGCTATTAATCCTTAGAGAGTATACAAATTACAACTTTTAAAAAAGGAAACTGTATAAAAAGCCTTACTAACAAAATGAAATGCCTTTCAAATTAAATTTGTTTCGGTATTAACAACAAGGTCCACAATCTTAGGAAGGCATATGCAATTTTCTCGTTTATTTCACTTTAGTTTTTCTAAAAGCAACTGTTTTTAAAATCATGACCTTTGTTTAATTTTCTCTTAATTTAAATATCACTTGTGATCGTGGCACAAGGTACATCTGAAGCTCCAATCTGCATGCCGTATCCCAGATGTCTTGCCAAGGCCATAAATTGTTGCTGATTCTCCCAAAAAGGGCAAAACCAAGTGGAAGCGGGTGCATCAAAAGCAGAACTGGATATAAGATATATTAGCACTTGATAAAAACTGCGCTTCCTTTTCATACGGCCTCAAATAGCTGCCATCAACATGGCAAAATGGCAACATTTCAAGCCTGCTCATAAATCAATTTCGTTTTTATTGCGGATGCCGTTTGTCTGCGCTACTTTTACATGGCCATTGCCAGCGATTTTTGTGGCCATTTTTATGTCGTTCAGTTAATAAAGCCCTACTCCAAGAAGAAAAAACGTGGCAAAGTTCAGCAAACAGGCAAAAACTCTCGGTTTTACTTTAACCCGCAAGCGTATAAATATTGTTTTTAAACCCCAATGAAATATTGCATGCGTTTTTGACGAATCGTCCATATGCAAACATAACATTTATAAATAAATAAATATAATCATAAATAAATAAGGCCCTAGTCCATGACAGATTGATGGCAAAAAAGCACAAAGAAAAATAAATATTACACCAAATTGAAAACTTGCTTCAAAGCCGTAACGTCGCTTTTCATTTACATATTTAATTTGATTTGCATAAAAAACAGGCAGTAATAAATAAAAGCATAAAAAACTTTGGAATAACCTTTAATGAGAGTTATTTATTTTCATTAATACAATGCCCTTGTAAAATCCATCACTTTCACTAAATAAAACGTTTTAAAAAATTGTTTAATAAGTGTGTCTTAACCCAACTTTATTTGATTCCCCGAAATAATATTTTAAAGCTGTCTGAAATTTTTTCAATCCTACCTTTTTATCGTTTTAATCATCCGCGGCTTAGTGCTCCAAAAGTAACCTGAAAAAAGGAGAAGAGAAGGCTTTGAAAAACAACGCAAAAAGGGTTTCATATTAGAAATGTATAAAACTTTTTGTTCCATTTTGTTTTGTTCCTCCTTTTTTAATATAAAATGGCTTTGGGTGGAAAATTCGGAGAGCGCGGCGGGAGGGGGGAATATGTAAATATGTGTTGGATGCTGGATGCCTTTGGAGCCTTCGCAGTAGCATGCTCGGAATTTAAATTTGTAGCTAAGCCTCGAAAAATGCGCGCCGCTTCATTTTGCGAAGGCAGCCGGACCCTTTTGTGGGTGTGTGTGTGTTTGTGTGCGTGTGTATCTGTGTGTGTGTGATGTATCTTTGGTGACAAAGGACAATGCCATAAGGCTGCGGGGGCAACAATAAAATTAAATATTCTATTTAATGGCGTCGTAGTATGCCAGACGCGTCGCCCAACTTTCCCCGATGCATTCCATCGGGAACTGGGACCAGGGGCGTGCCCCCAACCCCTGACCCTTGACCTCTTAGCAACTCCTCAACAGCATCTTCAACTTCCTGAAGCGTTTTCAAAGTAAGATCCCTTTGTTTTCCGTAAATAACAAACTCGTACTGCAGTCCAATAAAAACGCTGTAAACTTTCATTTTAATTCCGTTTCCAAACTCGGCTCAAATTGCATTCAGTTTATTCGAATTCTGATTGTCCGTTTATTAGCCTCGGGCCCCCTCCGAATGAACAAAAATAAGACCACGTTCCTGTCCTCGCCAGGGGCATGCAAATAAAACAGATTTTATTGGCGGTCTCTTGGTCCTTTTCTTTATACCATTTTTTGTCCAGCATTTTCCCTTTATTTTTTCTTGGCCTAACGAAAGTCGAAAAAGGAAACTTATCTACATTGCGAAGGGTTGTTGGTCCACAATTTGGTGTTCCATATAAATTAAGCAGATAATATAAATTAGATGGGATCGGACGACTTGTGTGATCGGATATCCCGACCATATTTAAAACGAAGCTCGCCCGAAATCGATGACACAAGAAATGCCTCAATTAAGCTGCCAAGATATTTTGTTGAGCCAGCGTCGAACGGCATAATGAAACACAAGCATAATATTTTCATCTCCCGGACGTCTTGGCTTCAATTCGGGACCTCTGAATTTTCCCCAATAGATATTTAATACTCGGCTGAATTTTTTGTTTGCCAGAACCCCCACTCCCCACTCTCCAACCTCTCCAACCACCCCCTTTCCACCACGCAGACCACGAGGGGTAACCACAGCAAACAGAGTCTAAACTTTTATTCTTCGCTTCTTGCGTAGGAGGACGTAATGAGTGGAAGGATAAGGGCGGAGGGGGTTGGTGGAAAGGGGGGTCAAAGGTCGGGGGCACTCAGACTCAGCATTTGTTTGAGCAATATTTTCGTGTATATTTTTCAGCTTTTCCGCACATTGTTGATGGTTGTTTTTAGTACCCCATGAAACGCTTTTTTGGGCATTCCGAATCAAGTGTTGGGCAACGTTTAAAAGAAATGACTCATTGGTCACAAAAAATATTAATTTTTGAGAAGTTTATGAGAAAAAGTTTTGTTTCAAATTTGATTTTAAATCACGGATTTGGATTGAGTATTTAAAAGAATTTGTAACTTTTATTAATGGGATAAAATATAAGTCTTTGTGATAACTTTATTATTTCACCAACAAATTATTTAATTATAAGTATTAAAAATTCAAATATTAAAATATTATTCGTAAAAGCGAGTAACCTAGGCTAATACTTTATATTTATTAACCCACTTAAATAAATTTCATTTCCCTTGAATGAGTATCAAATGGTCGATGGTTGAGCTTCCTTTCTTCCTGAAAGCTGGTGCCAAGTTTTAAAGGCGTCACGACCTTACAGCGCATTACAACTCACTTGCTCAGGCTGGGGAGGTTTCCAGAAATGGGGTTCAAGCGAAGGTTGGGGGTTGCCTGGTTCCTGTTCGCAGGGCCCAGGGTTGCCAGGCCTTCGCACAACCACCCACCCACGCCCACCGACAGCGCATAATTGCGCCGCGTCTGAGGCAAAATGAAAATATTTGAAGCTGCGAACTTCTCAAGTGTAAAAAATTTAATTTCGAAATGTAGGTTTAACGAACGGAAATTGCTTTCGCTCTCCGCGGAAAATGGAGTAAGCCCTCGTTGTTGTTATTGTTGCCTGATTTTCTTCCCTTTTCCGCCTTCCTTTTGCGCCCCCTTTACAACTGGGGGAAAAACAAAGTAAATGCAAAGCCAAGTTTAAAGTCAGCCGAAAATATCCCAGGCAGGCAAAAAAAGAAGCGTATCTCATTTGAGTTTTCGTTTGCAATTTGTTGGGCTAACTTTCTGATTGAGCTCGTGGCTCATTGCGGCGCATAACAGGCGCAGAACGGAATTATTTAATGTTTTACATTCGACCCAAACAGCCTCCCAGCCATCTTGAGTTGGCCTCATTTCCCCGATGGCCGACTGGCCGCGTAATTGCAATTGATTGTCGAGCACTTTGCACGCCAATTTGTTTCTGGTCACGGTCAGTTTGAGCGGGGAATGTGGTCAAGGCAGCGGGGTGCCAGCATTTGGACTCGGATGAGCCCGGAATTGAACTCTCACTTTGATCTTGCGACGTGGAAAGCGAATTAGCACCTTGCCTTGGCCTACAAAAAGAAGTCAAATAGGAGAAGAGCCCCATTTCGAAGCCTGTTAAATCAATTACAGCCGAAATTATCAAAGCAAATTAAATAAATTGTTTCTAACTTTTAAGGCTTGAAATTAGTCTTTCAAGGTTTCTAACTGTTAGGGCTTAAAATTAATATTTCAAGGTATTTTCATAGGCCTAAATACCAACTAACTATGATACATTTAAAAAATTCATATCCAAAAGTATGTTTTCAAAAAGAGATCATCATTTCTGATATGAAACACTCACAAATTATACTGTTAAATGCCAAGCTCCTTTTGTTACCACACATAACAAGTAATTTAATCAAAATTTTAAAGAAGAAGCTGTAGATTATGAAGTGTTTTATAATCCAAACTAACGTTGTAGTACCATTAAACAAGTTTTCATTTCAATATGCTTAGATTTATGTTGCAACTCTACTGTTACCACTCCACTTAATGCACAACCACATAAGCCTTTAGTCTAAACTGGCTCCCTGTAACCTTTTAGCAAACTACGCGAAGTCAAAGTGCATTTCCGCAAGTGCTGAAAGGTGCCAAAGGTTAGGAGCCAGATGACCCAACTCGTCCCAGCTGAAAGGCTTACCGAAAATGTTAGCTGAAGTGTGTAACAAAAAACAACACTCACGGAAATCCACACACACACTCGGGCAAACTTTTCAAAGCCCCCGAAAAGCAAACTTTCGGCAAATATGTTGGCAAAGCTTTTTTCGGTCAGTGTTTAGAAATAGAATGTCCGGCAGGAGTTCGATAGACTCCCTGGGCTCTATATCGAAACATTATCCGCACCGAGCGCCCAAAAACAAATGCAAAACAAACTAATCAAACTTTTTCCAGGATAACCGAAACGACACAAAATGCGCAAAACAAATTGCTTTATTTTCTAATTCAGCTGGAGAGCATTTTTCAGACTTTGTTTCCGAGCAGCAAAGGAAGCTGGTCGAGTGGGGCTAAAATCGAAAATCAATTTCTGTTAATGTGCCCGGGCCAAGAGTTTTCTGCCAGGAGACCTTACCCAATCCAACCCAACCCAAGCCAGCCACCCAATCAAGCAGCCAAAAGCCCCCAACCCATGAAAACCCAGCATGCGTTGGCCAGAGCATATTTTTGCATAAAGTTTATGCAAACATTTTTACTCGAAACCCGCATAAATTACGGCGCCCGGCTCGGTGCCCTAATAAACCCTATCTGGCGGATGTCTGGGGCTCAGTAAGTGGCCCCCCTGCTGCTGCCCGTGGCTCCACTACTTCTGCTGCGTATTTTGCATGTCATTTGCGTCTGAGCACTGCGGCCCAGATACCGAGGAAACCGGGGAAAATGGGAAAAATGGGAAATCGGGGGACGGATGGCCCCAACTTGCACCGTTTGTTTCCTTCGGTGTGCGGCAGATAAATCTCCGATATTTATAGGTCCAAAAACTACCTCAAAAATATACATTTGCATTTGCTTTGGAGCAACCTTAAATCCCAGTTACCCCTGATACTTCGTTCGCCCAGTATCATTACACATTTCGTAAGCCGAGGTGAGAGCTCCCAACTATTTTGTTTCTTATTTTCACAAAGATTTTTGCAAGTTAGTAGCAGTGGTAGGAAGAGGGCAATTATTTTTTATATCCCCAATGAATACCGAGATGAAACGAACGACCCCTGGTCCAGGAGGCCCAAATGCATACAGGAACTTCCTCGCTTGTTTCAAGCAGGAGAACTTCTGGTTGCAGGAAAGCGATGTCGACAAATTGGCCAACATTAAGTGGGCCGATTTCGACAGGAATCAGCGACAGGAGTTCTACGCCAACAGATACAAAGTAAATATGGAGGCCAAGCTGAAGATGGTCACCATAGAGCCTTTCTTCGGAATGGGAACCGGGGAACCTTGTCAATTTATAAATATAGACGATATAATCAGTCCGGTCAACTCGTGTAACCCGAATTCGGTGGAAACCATTCAGACGACAGCCGAAGTTCATGCCTCAGAAGAGCCAGAAAGCCCCTATATTAGTGATTCCAATTTGAATAAGTCGAGGCAGAGTTCGGTGTGCGCAATGGAGAATCTAAATCGGAAGTCTACAACCCGAAACTCAGCAGAATGGGAACCTATAAGTAAACCAATAAGTGAACTGAGTCACCGAAACTCAGCAGAATGGGAACCTATAAGTAAACCAATAAGTGAACTGAGTCACAAGTCAATCAGCGAAGTAGATCAAGCAGATCACCATGGAATTTCAAAGACAGTAATAACTGAAATGTCCATTTCAACCGTGACGATAAGAGGAGAGCCCTTTGCCAACTTCCTTCAGGAATTCTCTGTAGAGAAGGGAACGAAACCCCGAGAGAATGTCAAGGAAGCCTCCGCGAAATGGGATCAAATGAATGCCACGGAGAAGGAAGCCTATACAGCCGAGAATTATGTCCTGAAACTGTGTTCCCAAGTGAGAAACTTTGATCAATTTTTCGATCCACTTGTGCTGAATCAGGAAAACCTGTCGAATGAACCAATGGACTTGGATGAACTTGCACCGTCAGATAATTCTATTAAACACACAGTGAAGCCAAAACCAAGGGCCAAGGGAAAGGCAAAGAACACTCCAGCTAAAAAAGTGCGAAAACTTCCTAAGCGCACAGCTAAAAAGGTTCGTGGAGTGCAAACCCCAATGAATGAACCCGAAAACCATGAGGCTCCTGAACCCATGGCGACTCCACTCCGTCGCGCCAAATACAATTCGGGGTACCTGAATTTCCTTCGGGAGCTAAGGAGAGTCAATTCTGGACCAGTCCTCTCCGTCGAGGCCACCAATTTGTGGCGCAAACTTCCCGCTGGCGAGAAGGATATGTACAAGGATTTGAGCAAGACAGTCGTGCAGAAGAAACCAGCTCGCATCATTACCAGGAAGAGTTCCGTGCAAAAGCCCCAAACCCGAAGAAAACCGCGAGCTGCAAAGGTGCAACTCGTTGATGCAGCTAACTTGACTGATTTTGAGCCAGTGCAGCAAGTGCAACCCACCCCGCTGCAATCCAATATAGATGTTGCAACCTCAACTGATTTTATGCCAGTGCAACAGGTCCAGGAAACCCAGCTGGAAGTCTATCAGGGTCCGAATACGAACATTCCTAATGGGCACTCCTGGCAACAACTATTTTCGAGAGCAGCTCGAAAAGTAAAAAATATATTCTATTAAAAACGTATTTCGCATTTTGGCAAATTTTCCAAATTATAAACGTAAAATGTTTTTAGGTATTCTAAATTCCATTTTTATATCTAGTGATGCTTGGCCAATTTTTCAAATTTGTAATGTAAAATGTTTAAGCCTATGAATAACAAACGTTTTATTGTTAATCCCATAAAGACAAACCAATCCAAAATTGAAATTTCTTATTTTTAGTGTAGGGTAAGATGGGGTAAAACCGCCAAAAATTTATATTTGACGATGTCAAGCTATCATTTATAAAATGATCAATGAACCAACCCATATTTCTGAAAGTTTAATCCCTTGGCTACATAATTCATTTAGAAAGTTTTTATGTAGCTTTTATTTTAAAACAATTGTGACCGTTCAGAAGAAAAGTTTAAAACGGCGGTTTTACCCCACCTAGTGTGGTAAAAACGCCATTCTGGTTTCAGTGTAGTAAAGTACCCAAATTTCCAAAGTGTCCGCTTCAATATTATAGAAAAGTAAAATATTATAGAGTTTAAAAAATTCTTCACTTCTGAGCAATACCTTTTCGCGGCGTTTTTACCCCACGTGCCAATTTTTTGTCGAGGTTACTTAGTTTGTACAATTTTGGAAATATTGGCTAACTTGATATACCTATGTACATCAGTATCAAGGTTCGTACTATAAGCGGACACTTACCTCTTTTTTTCAAGCCGTTCATTTACACTTGATTGAGCAATGTTGATAACAAAAAATTTTTGCTGCCTTCGAGTGAAACAAAAATGGCTCAATAGAAATTGTCACGACAAAGCTGCAGTATTCCGACCGACTGCAAAAACCGCGCATTACACTGTGCGACAAAATTTAACGAAATGTTTGTTTAAGTTACTTTTTTGATTGTTTTCGGTTAAGATGCATAAATTATGCACAAAAATATCTATGCCACCTTCTAAGTGATAGGATTTCTTTTTTTATGATAAATTTTATGAAATTATTATTATGAAAATAATTAACACAAAATATTATTTTTTTTTTACTTCCAATCAACAATTTTTTTTTTTTTTTTTAAGTGAATTTTTTTTCCAGATTTTTTTTGGCTTTTTCAGAGGTATCCTCGCGTAACAAGTTCCATACGAAGTCGCCCAGAGTATAGAGCTGGGAGAAAAAAATTTTAAAGCATTGTTATAAAAGCCTAACGGTATATTTGCTTAATACATTTTAATTAATAGATATTGAACTTGCATAAAACGCTTATAACGGTGAAAAAATATTTTCCCAATAAGTGATTATAAGGCTGTGAAATATGCAAAAACACGCGTTTTTGGGACATTTGAGTGTGCGTAGAAGCTGATTGGCTATTGATATTAACAAATCCAAAAATTTATATTCTTATTTTGACTAGTAGAAGTGAAAAATAAGAAAAAAATCAACTTAAACATTTTTTTGTCGCACAGTGTTATCAATCAGAATCTACATTATCAACGGTTAATTGTTTCGGCGCTTCATTGGTATTTGAAATCCAAATGGCGGTTTTACCCACCGGCGGTTTTAGCCCATCTTACCCTACCTATAAAAAAGTTAAGTTATAAATCCTACGAAGACAAAGCAATCCAATTATAATTATATAATTTCGATTTCCAGTTCCCATTTTAGTATATTTAATAAGTTGCGTCTTGGCAGGACTTTCCTTTTACCACTTGTTAAGACATTTAAATGTTTGATAATAAATCTTATACATTTCATATTAATGTATAAATAACCACACTTATAAAATTGAAAAAGTAAATGAATGGGTTCATCGAAGTGTACTTCAATCTCCATCTTGTAAGGGTTGTATGTTTTAATTGTCTATGCGGAATTATTCATCGGCTTCTGCGAAGTGTACTTGTTATTGCCATTTGTAACATTGTAGCCCTGCCTCCCTGCCACTCCCCCCGATATTATTGCCTCTTCGAGGGCGGACCTGCCACCGAGGTGAGTCAATAGGGCCTTTGTCTGCGCCCGACTTTCCTGCATCGGTTCCTGCCTGCTCCTGTGCTAACAAATTTCTCGCTATTGTTTACTCGGTGCGGAGTGCGTGGTTCCAGCCGCCTGAACTCTCATAGCTGCTTCCGTTTCCGGCTTTGTTTTCGCAGCGCTCCCTTCTGTTCCGTTCGCCCATTTCGCAAAACCTCGGGCAGCTCTCCACATTTGGTGTTTATTTTATTGTACACTTGCTGCCGGCAACTCCGCTGAGCCGTGAACTGTGCGGCGTGTCATCATCTGCTGCTGCGGAGTGAGAATCGGCATCATCGGACCCGGAATCACCACCATTACCATCATCATCATCACCATCGCCGTGTGAGCGGTATATTTCCTCAGTGGCCATAGACACGAGGAGCAGGAGGAGAAGGAGCAGGAGGAGGAGGAGCAGAAGGAGGAGGAGCAGCAGAAGGGGGAAGAGCAAGTTGCTCCTCATATCTGCAACTGTTGTTGTTGTTCAGACGCTGTTATTGTTGTCTTTTGGTTGCTTTTTAGCGTGTGCCCTCGTGTTATTTACTTAACAATTTACTGAATAATTTAAACACCTTTTCCACCCACCAGCCCGAAATGAAAGTTACCCGAGTGGGCATATTGGACAGGGAATTGAGAATGCTAGGGTACATGAATTCAAAAAGTAAAATAGGGTGTCCTGTTTCAAGCTGCAGCGGATTGTCAAGCTAATTTGCAGAAAACATCCAAACAAATTAGCGATAATTCAAATTTAATTAATATAATTCAATTTATATTTAATTTAACGTTAAACTTTACTATATATCTTCTTTTCCAAAATTTTAGCCCCTACAAAAAACGTTAAACATTGAATGGTAATGTGAACTGATGACCCTTTTTTAGAAAATTAATACCTAACAAATGTCAAATAATTGACCTGAACGAAATTTACTCGTTAAATAATGTTCTTCTTTTTCAAAAAAATGTTCCTTTCATTACTGCGTAACAAAGGATATCTAAGCTTCTAGATTTTATGTTTTTTAAATATTTTCCCCAGCCATAGAAAAAGAGTGAAAAGGATATGGTTGGTTCAAATTTAGTAGTCCCTGAGTGCTGGGTACCACTTAGTCCAACCCCTCCTGGTGAAGCCCACTATGTATGTCGCCTGTTATTTTTCAGTTGCTGCTTTGCTTCCTGTTTGCTCCTTGCTGGCCACCACTGCCACGCCCCCCTCCTTCCTTTGGTGGGCGTTGAATTATGAACCTGACTTTCCTTTTGGGGGTTTGAGGCTGTTGTGGAAAAGTAAAAGTTTCACCTGCGAAGGTGTGAGTGTGAGTGTGAGTGTGTGTTGGTGTGCCTGATAGTTGTCCACGGACTCACTCACACACTGAAAATCTACCACACACAGTGAAACTTTCAGTGTTTACTTAGTCGAGTCTTTGACTGACATTTAATGCGGTTAGCATGTGTGTGAGTTTGTGTGTGTGTGTGTGTTCGCCCTACTGTGTTGATAATGTGCATAATAAGCCTTAATTAATGTTAAATAATGAATTTTCTCATTTGCACGCCGTCAGCGTTGAAAAGGCATTGCCTTCGGCATTTCCTTGTTTCCATTTTAATTCGACGCAAACACACGACTTTCTGTGGGCTTCCAAATATTTACAGGTTAACCCCCGTTGCCCCCCGAAAAACTGCCGACTTCGAACAGCTGGGGAGGTCGAAAATGGGGATGGCTATTGGGCAGGTCCTTTGTTGTGGTTCCCTCACCTTTCCCACTCCTCCGAAAATGTACAGAAGCCACAACACAAACATTTTAAAAATCAGCAAGTTTTACTTTTGGGCACTTTGTGTGTTGGCCAATTAAATGACCTTATCAAAGGGGCTTAATCAGGGGAATGGTTTCGGGTCAGCTAAACATTTGACAGCCGTAATTTACACGGGCCTAATTGAATGTTTAACAAAATATAAATAATAACTACAAGTCCCAGTGGAACTCGTATCAAAACCAGTTCACAGTGAATCTGTAGGACAGTAAACTTGAGCAGTTTCCATTCTATAACTTTGAGCTCCTGTCCAAAGTTGTAAGAACTCATGCCGGATTCTTCGCCCGAAAGTTGTTTGCCAGTTCCCAAAAGAAGGCAATCCTCACAATGCCAGAACTTTGGGGCTCCAACTCTTTTAAATCGAGCACTTTTGTTTATTTACAAGCATTTAACCTAATTATACAAGCAACTTTCCTCATAACGAATATCGAACCCTGTTCGAACCTGAATCCCGAACTCAATGAGGATGGAAAAGGCAGCTTGAGCATATAAAAAGTTCAAACTGTCAGAACTTTGACAGCAATATTGTTGAGTTTTATGTACAACAAGCGGGATAACTAAAACAGTGCAGAAATTAGAAACAACATACCGAAAATGTCCGAAAAACTTTGCCCTCGATTCCTGCAACTTTTCCTCGATTCTTATTATGTAGCTTGCTGCTGTTGTTGTTAGTGTTGTTGTTGCTGTTTTCCTGGCTGCCGTTTAGCTGTTGTTTTTGTCGCACGAGAAAATCAATGCCGGCATATTTTATCCTTTTTTCATACGCAGGCACACAAATACATATAAGAGACACCACTACACTGACACAGGGAGTAGGATATCAAACTGAGATGCCAAAAAAACAGTTGCCCAACTCAGCGTTTTTTTTATACTTATTTACTTATTTTTTTGTGTTATTTTGTTGTAGTTGATTATGATTTTTTCGGCTGGGTTTTTCCTTTATGCCAGCGTGTGTTGTGCGGTTTTTATGGGCCTTGATTTGATTGCATTTTGTTTCTGGGCCTGAGTGGGATATATATATATGTATATATTTTGTTGTATTTTTTGTTTACTGGCACTTTCGCTGACAGCCCTTGAGGCAATTATTTTTTAGAACCGAGAGTGCTTGAAACTTTTCAATATTTGTTTGGTTTTTCAGAGAATATTTATGGGGTTTTTCGATGCAATGGCTAGTAGTGTTCTTCGAGAATGTTGTTTGTTGTTTGCCTTCTTTCCTCCCCTTCTGCTATTTTGTGTCACTTTTCCTTGGTGGGTGGCATGCGCTGAGTGGCATGTCAATCAAAATCAATCAAAATGTTCGCGTTTTCGCGCTCGTTAGCGTTTACACATGTTGTTGTCGCCTGGGTTCCTCGACTTGCGGCAAATGGATTTCAGGTTGTTGTGTTTCTTTTTCAGGATTTCCCGTCTCACGTTACCCGGCGCACTCGGAAAATTCTGACGGCGGCACGTACTGCCATTTGCCGTTCGCCTTTCGCCACTTTCCCTGCACACACACACTGAAATCGCGTTCACCAAGGGGTTAACTCCTTGCTAACTGACCTACTGAGGCCGCCTCCTTGGCTTTTTAGCAACGGTTAGAACTCCCGGCTAAGATCTGTGCATCCTTCCGGCGGACGTGCTCCACACGGGCGGGGCTACGGATCGGATCGAAGCGAAACGAGTCGAATCGAATCGAATCGAATGGAGTCGGAGCGGTACAGAGCGGAACGGAGCGGACTCGAGCGGATGAGGTGCGGCGTGTCTGTCGCTCACGGCGTGCGCTTTTCAACTGCTGCGCCCGCAACGCTCGACGGATTTCCAGGCAGCCAGACGCCGACGCCTTCGCCAGAAGAAAACCAGGCGTTCGTCGCTCCTCGTGCCTCGTTTTTCACTCGTTAAACTGTTATACGCTCTCCGAAGAGAGATAGAGAGAGAGAAAGGGAGAGAACTAGCGAGAGAGAGCGTGCCAGGGAAAGTCACCGAGAGAGCGCACCACTTTCACCGGTTTCTCTGCCGGAAAATGCGGAGGCTGCGGGGCAACGCTTCTTTATTTATATTTTCTATGTGATTTATCTGCCTGTAAACTGCTTAATAAAAGGGATTTATCAATTGCAAATTAGCACACATTTATACGTCAATTAAAGAAGCTAAAGGGTAAATCATGAAGGTAAAGCCTCGTATTAGCTAGCAGTATTATCTAATTCTAATTTGCAAAATAATTTGAATAATTTTTATTGTCGCGGTGCATAGGCGAATCGACCCATAAATTTTAAATGAGACTTGCCATTATGCAGGTGAAATTTTGCTCTGATTTTGTTTGTAAATTTAAATTATTAAGAATACCCCGAAGCGAAAAATTAACAATATACCTACAATATAATTATTTACAAAGTATAATATTCAAACACCGAACGGGACATATTTTATTAAAATTTACAAAAGATTTTAAAAAAAATATGAATTATAATTATTAAAATATTTAAATATAAGTATTTTAATACTCTTGTGAACTAGAACCAAATCTAATTAATAAAAGAACAGAGTTCTCTGAATAACATAATGTATGTTAATCTTTGTAATTAAAATATATATTTTTTTCAACTTATCTTAATAAATGTAATGCTTTAAACAGGATAAACATATATAATTTTAATTTTTTTTAAATTTTGGTATGTTAACTTACCATTCCGGTTTTATAACAAAATTTACCCAAATATGTATAACCAAATTAGAATAAAATAGTTTCACCTTAAGGCAAGATACACCTTTTAAACAAATACATTTAAATACGACACATTCATTTTTAAAATAGTTTTTAAAAGAAACCATTATATGATAGTTTCGTGCTGTTGCAAATACTGTTAAGTACTGCAAGTACTGTCAAATAGAGACTTATTTTATTTTTCCCACTAAGCAATGTTACAAAGGATTGTAGTTCATGTTCCTGCTTTGTTATTGTTATTGTTAGCGGTTTCCTATTTGGTTCTCCGCCTTTTTTGATAAGCACTACCCAACGATTATTTTCTTAAGCTGCAGCTCTCCATTAATATAAGAGCCCCAAATTGAAACTGATCCCATATAATTTCCCAGTATATATCTCTCTCATAATATCTCATAACATCACAACCCGTATAACAGAGCGATTTCTTCAGGGAGTCGGCGCCACTCTGGAAAGGCAAAGCCCGAAAAGCCAACCTCAACTCACAGCTGACCGAATGGGCTGGTAATGGTAACCAGGAGAACTTCACCACGGACTCAGGCGTGAAAACTCCCAAGCTGAAGTCCTCAGCCGGCCGAATGGATATGTGGCCGGAATCGAAATCGGAATCGGAGGCTCAGACCGGGAGTGCATTTCCCCGGCGCCGCCCACTCCAGCCCAGCGAAGCCAAGGTGGCTGTAACACCAGGCGAAACGGGTCCCCCGGGGGTGCCAAAAATCCATTTTGGCCAGGACCAAAGACAAGAAAAGTCAAGTTGAAGAGGAGGAAAAACACGGAGAAAAGGGGGGCGGAAAGGGGGGAGGAAAGGGGCAGTGGGCGAGAGCCAGCAGCGAAAAATATCGATTCGGTTCGATTGTTGTTGCCTGGCCGCCCACAGCGAATTGTATATTGCTTTATAAGCAGCTTCTGTCTTCGGTCCAATCGAGGGGTAAAAAATAAAAAAAAAATAAAAATAAAAAAAGGAGAAAGGGGAGGAGGAGGGAAAATCAGCAGACCCTGCCCTGCGGTTGCTTATTTGGCTGCTTTAGTTTCACTGCCGTCAAGTGAAGTCCTTTTCGCGATTTCACAAAAAAACAAAACAAGAACCAGTGATGGGAATTTTTCGTTTTACGCTGTTTTTCTTGTTTGATGCCTGCGCCGCAGCTCCTCCTTCAATCGCAATGAGTAAATAACCAATGAAGCAGATAGAAATGTTTATTGTTATTCTTCGGGGCTTCCCCCGATTTCCCCTTCTTGCCCCTCAGCTTTTTGGTCATTCAAATCAATTCCGCAGGCAGCTTGTAGCCGAGTTGTATCTGGAGAGTTCCATCTGCATTTTTATTTAAATTTACTTTGGCCCCGGCATAAAGGACAAGATTGTCGTCTTGCCGACCAAACGAGCCATTGCACATTATGAATTTTGGCTTACAATCCCGCGCTTCCTCCTCTCCTTTCCCGAAAGTCTCCTTTTGTCGGGAAGTACAATAATTAAGGCTGCGTTAAGTATACGCACCTTGGGCGCGGCTTGTTCGTCCTGTTCCTCGGGATCCACTCCCGCGTAGTTTGTGTCGCATTAAAACTATTTAAGTTTTTAATGCCCTAACAGCGATGATCTTGTGCCTGGCATATAAATTACTCAGTCGCCCCTTGAAGCCCCGCCATCCCTGCATTAGCGCAGCTTCAAAGGCCTCCTTTCCCGCCACCCTCCTTCCTTACAACCGCCACCCACCCACCGTACTTCCACCCATCACAACGTCCTTGTCGTCGAGCGTGGAAAGCGCGCAGAGCAGCGAAGCTCCAAGATGCTGAGCACTTTGCCAAAGTTTTTACTTGGCTCGTTGGCAATTTTTACTTTGTTGCTTTATAGGGATTTATGTTTAATCGGCCAAAGGTTACTTCAACTCGCCCGCACACACACACACACGCACACTCTTTGGCAGACAGACATGTTAAAAGCTCCTTTGTTTCAGCGTCAGCGAGTGAACAGGACGATTACCGAAAGGATTGGGCAGAACAAAGCGTTACTAGTACTGTCAACACCAAAGGTGCTGTAATTTAAAGGCCTTGATGATGGACATTTGTATACTTTAAACGATTTATATTAAATTTAAAACTTAAGCTCGTGTCTGGAATGTGTATGAGTTCAACTACAAACAGAACCTCTTTAAGTACATACCAAAATTCCCAGTTTCCATATGGTAATATTTCACTTTATATATTTATTCTATTCTGTACTTTATTTATTTTACTTTAGGTGACAAGGACTGTCTGATAAAGAAACCCATATTTATTATATTGTAATTTCATAATCGCTTATTATTTCCAAAAATAATTTTTCTTCTATTTTTTTATTGAGCGAAACCATTCGATATTTAAAAACTTTGCTTACCGTTCTGAAAACATCTTTGTTGAATCTAAAAAGTTAATCAGATGCTCCACACTTTAAAGCTGGCAGCTTCTTAACAATATTATCTCATCAAATACTCGGCAAAGAGAGTCAAATAAATAATCCGAGGGCGAACAGAATTGCATTTTCCCTTCTGCTGCTGGCCGTTCATTAACCCTCTTTTAGCCGTTTATTTACTTGAATAAACTGTTTCAATTGTCCCTTGCTCAGGTTCGGTCAATAAACGAACTTTCCCCGGACCTTAATTGAAGAAGTGGCTGCAGCTGCATGCAAACCAATTTCAGCTACGACTTGCACTCCGACAAAATAAGTCATTTAATTTGAGAAATTGCTTTTCCTTTTAAACGGCACAACAATCTAGAAACAGTTTATTTCGTATATCATTATAATCCTAGGAATAAAACTATAGTGCATATGTATATTGTATTACATCTGTTAAAAGGTTTTTAAAATATGTGTTAAATACAAATATATACACCAAAGCCTTCTGGGCATAATATAACAAACGAACCAAGCATAAATAAATATAACATTCCTTTTGCCAAAACAATACAATTTATTGAAGCAGAAAATTAAAATTATAATTAATACATACTGCAAATTTGGCAACACCAATATGGTTTTGGAATTTGCAATAAATATGTTAAAAAGAATGCAGTGAATAAAATACTTTCTCTGTTTATATTATTACTCTCATATTTACTTACCTAACAAATAATTTCTATTAAATGTATTTCGGCAATTTAAAATTTTTTAGAGTATGTAGGGAGGGATCACGTTAATTAGGGCCGCCCTGAGCAAGGATGTGCGGTGGAACTTTGGGCCAAAGGTACGCAGCGGTATCCGCGGTTTAAGCCCGGCTAAAGACCACCATTGATTGGCAGTGCGAGACGTAGTTCTTTGATTTGTGTCTAGACCGAGGAGCGCGTGCCCCAGCGGCAGCTGGAAATAGAAGAGCAGCCCGAGGAGGAGGGAAATGCCAGTTGGCTTCGGAAAATTCATAGCTAGCGCGGGAAAGTTTATTAGATGCTCTTTGCTGTCCCTGCCGTCTTCGATGTCCTTGCTGTCTGTCTTTGTCTCACTCGCTTTTGTTGCCTTTGAAGCGCCGCCAGAATTTTAATTTCCGCCCGGAGCGTGTCGCACGTGGCCGCACTGCCAAGGAAGTTGACAAAGCTTTGAGTTGCGGCCAAGTACCGAGTACCGAGTACTGAGAACTGAGTACTGAGTACCGCCGGCCCTTGTGGGCGTTGTGGGCCATCAAGTCGGCCGCCTGTCAGTAATTATGGCATCGCTCTAATTAAAAGTCAAAATAGTTGACCTTGAGGCCGCGGAAGAAGAGGTGTGTGTGTGTGTGAAAGCTTCTAAAATGAAATAAAAGAGCACGAAATTGAAAAACTAAAAATTGATGGGCTGATAAGGGGGAACATTCATGGGAAATAGTTGGCGATTGTTTTCGACGCATTCGAGCGTTCAATGCACTCCAAATATTTGTTCAAATATTTGCCAACACGCTCCAGCTTCTCTGCCGTTTCTGTTTCTGTTTCACTTCTGTTCGCCTTGTTAATGCTATTGTTGTACAACTTTTGTGCAAAATATTTTACGCCCCACAATTTCCTGGAAATCTACATTTTTCCCCTGGACTTTTTTTCTCTTTGGCCAGTGCTCGAACTCACACACACACACA